GTCATGATATATGATATATGCAACATGCCAAAACCATTGTAATCAATTTAAGTCAACCCTCATTTGTTCATCAACGAGGCACTTTGGGGAGAGAATAGTAACTAGGGGGATTTCGTATTACAGATAACAGCAGCTTCTGGATGCTGTCGATTGCACAAAAATGTTAGAACTTCGTAGTAATACATATGATTCATGTTTGAAAAAATTATCTACACAACTCACTTTCGAATGTATGCAAACGTATGACTGATAGTCTTGTGCCCGGCAATAAACAAGGCAGAGAAAAATAATTCAACGGATAAACTGGTAACACCATGTGACAGATCGGTTACTGGTCGTCTTTCTGGATTGATATGTGCGAGGCGTTCATCGTCCGGGATTTCCTCCTCCTCCTGCACAGGTGCATTTGCTCCGCGCCCATATGATTCTGTGTAGAGGAGACGTCGACGAGCGGTCAGATGCGGACGTGTATTGGTCGGATTTAGAGCACCGATCGGCTCCGGAGCCTCCACGTCGGAATCAGATGCAATGGGGTCATCATTTAATTTACGACGCTGCTGTTCCGCGTCTTCATCTTCGTTGGCTTCAATCTGTGTACGCTCACTGTCGTTCTCCGGACTATGAAGTCGCCGAGGATCGGAAGCGCGTTGGGCTATTTTCAACACATCGGCACCCGGACTCCGGGTGCGGATCGCCTCCAAAAGCTGACAGAATGCCGAAGCCGAAGGTAAATCTAATGGGGAGAAACGAAATGAAACTGTTCTTTTCTTTCATTTGGTCCAAACGGATCATAGCAACAATGCCATGTGATGGTTTGCAATATGTGGGTAGTATGTTATCCCGTTCTGAAATCAAGTTTTAATCTTGGATTTCGTTAGAAATAAATAGTTTCCTTTTGAAAACTGTTCGTTCAAGGTCTGCTGTCTAGAAGATGTGATAATCATCTTTGTGTGATGACGGTGGCGCAATGGCTGTTTCCGTCACTGATGTGCTTTGGTCATGGATTCGAGCCCGACCATCGCGACCCAACTTTGATGATAGACAGCTTTGTTGTTGTCTGGTTCAATATCACACTTAACCTAACGGGGCCTTATGTGGTTCGCCAGATCAAGTCCCGGGGCTTAGGTTACCGGTTTCCATCACCAAACAACAGGTCTTTGTGACTATGGGGTTCAACCCGTTTGCTGTTCATCACGCAATATTGTAACAAAAAAATCATGGAAACGTCAGGGAGTTTTGTAGGATACAAACGCAAATGTAATGCCTTCGTGACCCAGCAGATAGAAAGTAATTTATCTGATGAAGTAGAGGCTGCTGTCCATGTGTGGGTTCCAGTCTCACTAAAGCCCTTGACTTTTCAAAATTACACCATATGAAAACCGTTTTACACTCAACACTATTTGTATTGAGGGTTTTACTTGTGTGGTCACCGTGTTCAGTGCCACGTCCAACCTGCTAGGGTTTCGTGTGATTCACCAATTTCCGGGCCCAAGTTGCCGGTTACAGCACGCTCGGATGACTACTGCGTCTGTCATTTTGTTCATCACATAATGGTGTATAAAATGCAAATGATGTCTTCACGTTCACATTGTTTCACCCGACGATACTGGAGTGATTTGGTCAGGTTGTCAGGATAACAGTTCAATTGCTATGTATGTGTATCGTTCATCACTGGGTTATCGCTCCTACTCCTCGAACAGAGAGCATTTTGAAGTCACATGTCACATGGAATAACTTGGGAGGTAAAAAGGAAACTTGAAAAAAAACTGTGAGTGAACAATGCATGCAAACGAAATAGACAAAAGTGTGTTAGAATTTCACCATTCACCATTGCATCCAGAAATGGGAGTCATAATGGCACAGCGAAAAAAACAGTGCAATGAACTTTTCCAATCGCAGTCGAGATCATACCATGTACAGGGTAAGTGCTGATATAGCCATAAAGGAGTTCGTTGGAGGAGACAGGGTGAATTGAATCTATGCGGTTATTCAACAGAGTGTGCAATCCAACCGAACATGCAAAGAGTTGGGTCGCTACTGCCTCTTCCACTGTTTCCAACCAATCAGTAACAAAGTCTTTCGGACCCAATCCCGGAAAACTGGAGACAAATACGCTGTCTGTCATTTTTCAGAACTCGTTTCTAGATCACATACTGACCTGTACATAACATCACACATCCTGAAGCGGCAATTGAAATCAGGGTCAGTGTGGCATATCATCGTAAGACACGCATAACGTGAGCCCCGACCACTGAAATCCATTCATACAAATGAATTGCGACAACAAATCCTTCCACTTAGATGCTCTCAACTATACGACTCCTTAACTTGGCTAGTACGCGGTCTTCACACCCACACCCACACTGCCTTGTGGGTCGGGATTAAGCTAGTCAAAGGCTCCCAGTGTGAATTCTCCTGGGAAAAGTGATCTGTTCTAGCCTGAGCAACCTTATGTATCGTATGTATTTCACACACGTCTGGCGCCAGACTATGTGCCAAACAAATCATGATACAATAATCTTTATAAAAGGAAAACCTTCCATAATTTGCATGTGGGCTGAATATTGCCAGGTTGCCCAGGCCAAAGCAGGTGAATTTTCTTGAAGAATCCACAACCGGAGTCTTCAGCTAGCTGAAGCCTGACCCGCAAGGCAGCGGTGCGGTGTGCAAAAACTGCAATCCGTTGGGGGGGGGGGCGGTATCCAGTTCATCGGATCATCCACCCTTTGGACGGGGTTAAACGTCTAAGGTGCCCAATCGAGTCGGTGACCACTGCCGCAACCGGGAAGGTGTGTGGCTCGCGCACTTCCTCTTGGTTGGTTTGGAATCAGGGTTTTTGGCCAACTCCCCTGTGTGAAATGCCAGTGGTTCACCAACCCGGTAACAACCCCGGATGTTGGATTTTCGTCCTCTCACTTTGGTGGGAAACACCTCCGCCGAAGGCAGAGAGTAGGACTTCCTCAGCAGAGGCTATTCGGGACGCTTGAGCAACTTGGTGGGATTCCACCCACAAGAAAATCATGGACTGAATGCTTTTTTCTACAGATTACTGTACCGCGATCTTTTTGGGTCACATAGTATGGACTCAGAAGAATATGATTTATAACATCATAATACATGAATACTGAACGAAGTGTTCCAACGGTTAACTCAACGTTTCACAGCCATAAAGTAGAACTGGTCGCACTAGGCGTGAATTTTCGAGTTCATTGAAATGCCCTGTGGGGATGGATACACATTTCAGTCCCGCGTAGGCCGCCTAAGTCACATCACATTAACTCAACTCCAAACTGATTGAAAAAAGAGTGCGTGTGTATCAGTGAAGTGAACAAGGAAAGTTGTAATGAGTTTTTCTTGTAAGTGAATCGGAAAATAAAATGGAGTTTATGCTCAGGATCCACACATAACATTCTTAAAAGCGTAACATAAGACGTAATATAATATATGATAAATACTTCACCTTAAACCGTATACATAGCACTTCGGTACCCAAATGGACGCCATTTGAAGGCAATTTAACGAGAAACTCTGCTGTGTGATTCCATAAAATACTTACGCAAACGAACCGTCGTTCTATACAATTGTTTTAGCACGCAAATGAGGGAAAACAAATGATGATAAGGTAAAATTTTGATGGAATTAAACAGTCACCAGGAGATCCGTTTTATACTGGTGCGTGTTCAAAAAATGTGCACTTACCAGGTTTCGCGTCGTATTTGTTGACCACTGTCGGTTGAGGTGGAAGCAGAGGATAAAATGACTTGGGCAGTAGGCGTTTCACGTTTTCAAAGTAGGAGAATCTGAAATACATCCGATGGACAACAGGGAAAATGGTTCACAACGCCGGAATTTACTGATATTTTTTTCAAGAGAGTGCTGCTCTAAAAATGGAGGTGAGATTACTAAGAAAAGCTTTGGGTAGTATTAGGGATATTATCAAACTCTGATACGATTGGGATCACCAGACAGGTGAGGAGAAACACTCGTGAGCAGGTTTGATGACGAGTAAGAAACGCAACGATTAGCAGTTGGATTAGCGTATAAAAGGATTGTAAGATTTGCGTCATGGAACTAAGCATTGATACCCGGGGATGCTCAGCTATTCTACAGACCCGTTGTAAGTCGGATTCCGTAGATAAAATACAATGTTGGACGTCTAATATGATAAAATTAAGTCTGCTCCAATGATTGGCGTGGGTTCCCGTGACGTGATTTCTACTCGGGGCCATAATTCCGCCTGCTTTCTGACTCTTCGCACTCGAAACTTTCCTTTCTGACGGTTCTTTGAGTGTAATCTGCTTGGATGATCGTTACCTCCTCCGTTAGTTTCTTGAGTATCGTCGTAAATTCTGTTAGCTGGCGCCTGTGCCCTCAGTTGCTTGAACAGCAATGAAGTTTTTCCCGATGAGCTCCCTCACTGCATCCGACCGTCTGGATACATCCATAATCTTCCCAGCATTATCGGAGTCATCTCCCGCAGGCCTTCCGATAGGCTCTCCGTGAAACGATCGAGGAGTGAAACCGTGCGCACTGCTTCATCAGGAGCGCTCCATCCAATAGGTCGCGTAGAGCCACGGCATGCGACAGGAGGTCCAAGCCAACTGTGACCTGCACCGTCCAGAAACGCGGCTGGGGTGTATAAACACACAATCAGAGCGTCCTTCACGGTAGCCCACTCCCTTTTTTACGGGCCTCTTCGCGCCGCCTTCAACACCGCCCATGCACGGTTCTTGAGAAGCGCTCGGAGGGCCGTCAACTTATCCCAGTCCCTCTCCGCTAGCTCCGCAACGTCCTGGAAATCCTCCAAGAAAGTCCGCACATCCCCATCCTTGCAAGATGCAGCCCATGGAACCATTCTGACGACGGCACTAATTTTTATCAATCCACAAGACAGTGCCGGGACGAGGAGAGTTATTTGTTCGAGGAACAACATCGGACAGGAGTAAATAAGGTAACATAGATCGAAACATCTCATTTGCTACAATTGTTTATTATTTTCGTGATCGTCCCTTCATCGCTGATCTCCTAACAGTCTGTTAGTCTTCTACAGTTGCAAAGGTAAATCCTTTAATCCATTCGCGGATTCCGTGGGAATCCAATAATCGCTTCCTGGTATGTACAAACTACTCGCAAGTGAGTAGTACCTCACGACACTACGACATCATGACTGTTTCCTCTTCATTCGTTCGCAACCATGAATGATGCTTTAACTGTTCAGTCGGTGAAGCGCGCCACAAACCAGTCCGTTTGCAATTGCGTGTTCTCAAGACACAAGACAGCTCAGAGACGATAACGGCGTGGCGAGAATAGTCATTGACATTTTGCATTCCATCGTCTCCGTCCCTAAAGTCGGACATGTGTCTGGTGGCACCTGTAAGTGAGTTAGGAGGATGACTGGTAACGGATGACACGAAGGGAAGTGATCACGATACATGAAGGTCCGGTGATTTGAGCATACCTGTCCACTGCTTCTCCTACTGAACACTCAGCACCTTACGATCCCAATGGAACCGTTCAAGCATAGGAAAATAAGAAACTGCACCAACTGCTCAGTCTGTTTCGCTAATCCGTCCAATGACCATACAAGCCAATTATATCTGCAATTGATAACCCTAGTACGCAAATGACTCAAGTAGTATATAAAGTGGTTCCAAATTATCCGTTCAGCTGTGCTGGACTAATGGACATAGGTTGTGATAGCAATCAGCTGGTCACCCATTGAGGATAGTCAAAAGAGATAGATGGATGGGCCCTATTTCGTGTAGGATTGACGTTCAACCGCTCGTTGAATTCAACCTGGATGGTGCCATGAGTCACGTGTGCGATTTACAAACGCGCGAATCATTATGGGAGGAGGAAACAGGTGCAAATCCGGAAAATAAAAGGCTTTAAAGCATCAGTCAAATACAACAGGTCTATGGGTCTCAGAAATGAACCGGCGCTGTGCTCTTGTTGTTTCAGCTAGCACGTTTCAAACTGATGCATGCCAAGGGATTTCGTTATTCCACAGAACACTACTCACCGGATCAGTCGAGCCAAAGTTTCAGTGATCAGTCGTCTATGCGGTGACATTGGATCCTCCTCGATCGCCCCGGACCATTCTCGCCAACTCCATTGAAACTGATAGTTGCTCAAATGATATGAGAACCATTCAATCATTCTGCAAAGCAACCAAAAAATAGCGATCCAGTAGTGACATGGAATGGAATTCAGTGGCATATATATCAAGGGAATTGTGAAGGGGAGAGTATTATGAAGGGAAAGGATGCTACCCAAGTGCAGACAATGTATGTCCGTGTAGGAACCCCAGTGAAGGAACTTTGCAACTCAAAAGACTAATTCCGGGTCTTTAGACGCTATCTGACATTGTTTTCAAAATATGTTGTTTGGTAGATTGAAGTATTACATTTCAATTGCGAAGAGTTCAGTAGTCACAGTGGGATTCGAACTCAAGCATTGACGCCGCCTACGCCTTTGTAAAACGTACGCTCTACCCATTAAGCTACGAGGCCATATCACGGGAAACCGATCAATAGGTGAGAGTAACTGATATATTTAGATATCAGTAAAGTGAGCTATTGAAGTCACTACATGAGCAGAAGAAATCAAACCCTTGACACGAGTGCTATAGAAAGAGTTTTGCACTTCCGCACTGTTGATCTGGACTCTACTCCACCGTTATCCCACAGAATCCTCATGCCTTATGAAAAGTACATGGATGTGCAAGGATTAGATGTTCTCCTGTGGTCAAAAGCAGGGTGTATTGGAATTCACCTTACAAACTGTCCCCGAGTACTTAAAGTACCATGTTTGGATTAGCCCATACGATTGTTCATCAGCTCCATCAACGGTGCCTGGTGCATGATAATCGAAACTGACTGGGCCATTCGCCTAAGGTGTTGACTGCGAGTTGTACAGCCCAGGGTCAAAAGTTTTGACTCCGAACCTGAAGGTTCGCGGTTCAAAACACCTTCCGTCCGTAATGCTCTCTAAGTTGTAGTTACGGAATTACACACGGCCGTAACAGAAAGAAATTTGGCAGTCTATGAGCCAGTGAACTAATCGGTGTATTCTGGAATGTAGCCACAGGCTGGAAATTTGAGTTTTTAAACAAAGATGTACGTCGAGTGACCAGTAAAAATGGAAAGAACCCCGAGAATGGTCTAAAGTAGACCAGCCAAATCAGATGTCGCAGCTGTTTACACTGTGATCTACTGCCAGACTGTCGAGGAAAATGTTGATAAGGACCCCAAGAAAATAATAGGGCAAACTGACTTCATTTGTAAACAATATGTATCAACTACGTAGCTATGAACACATTTGGTTGGCATAAAAGTATAAATAACGATAAAAAATAACGAGTGAATAAATAATTTGGTGGAGGATCAAGATTATGTCGCGATGGTGAACTCAACTGACAAGATAACGAATGCTAGGAGTACGGTGTCAAGTGCTCAACTGCGTAGTTACACCGCGTTACAAAGCATACTGTGTACATATAACAATGTAATCGTGTAGGCAACACAAAGTTATATGCCTACAATACCTTCGTGCATTCGGACCAGCCAAGCAATTTACGGTGGTGCAGGCTCAAATAAATCTCATAGTGCAAGTAACATACAACAAACAAAACAATTTTGTTCAGTTTTATTATGGGCGATTTAACAAAGCTATCGTTTATCACGCCCGCCCGTAGGATGTTTACAGAATGTTTTGGACAACTTCACAAATAGAAATTAATAATATGCATGATCGCTCACACAGATGTTGAAATGTCAAGTGTTCCAATGCTTCACCAAGCAGCGATTTGAATAATTCAACTATTAGAGCATACACAACGTGGGATGGAAGATAATTCCATACATGGCACACTCCGACTGCAAATGAGTGATGAAAGCAATCCAGGTGACTGTTTGAGGACCTCAACTTTAATGGGTGTCCCCGGAGATGATTATTCTGAGATAAAGTCAACACAGAAAGGCAAGGGTGGTTGGGTTGATGCAGTATATGGTACGTCAAGATTAGGTCCTCCCGAAGTGGAGCAAATAAATGAGAGTCATACACCACACGTTAATGTGCAGAGGAGCTCCTCAGCTGTACTGCTCGGGCTTACCTGCCGATACAGACTGGTTTCATTGTGTTCAGCCGTTCATAGAGCACCT